ACAGGAATCTGTTATCAAAATTTGTATCTTGTATGATTTGGTAGTACTGGTCTATTTATTTTGGTTTTCTAATAATACATTACTGACAACTTTATTAGGACGTAGTAAGGAAATTGTTTCATACTATCTAAATGTTTCTCGTAGGATAAAAAATAAGAAACTTCTTGTTTGTAGTAACATGTCTTCAAACATCTATGTTGGAGGGCCATAGACACAAAAAGTTCAGTTGATTTCATTGTTAATAGTATGATATTAGTGGAAGAAGCAAGAAATTTGGCAGTCTGATTTGTTTACATTTATGCAAATTTTGACATGTAAATACTACTTACATGTCAGCATTTGCATATATATATGAGAGAAAGAAACCAATTGAAATCAATCATGACATACCAGCTCATCTTTAATTTAATGTAATTTAACTATATTGGTTTTGCTTGATAGAAATGTGAAAAGAACAAATTAGAAAAGCGATTTTCTCTTCTATCAGGAATGTAGCTCTAGCTAAGCTGGTTATTTATTGCCAAGACAGATGAGGAGATAACTGTTCTCTTCCAGTTATTAGTGGGTTCCGCCTCAAAGCTTGCTGGCAGTTATGTTTGGGTCCACCTAGCAAGGTGGATTATATTTCAGAGACAAGTGATTAAATCCTTGTAACAACTGAGGCATGACTAGTGTCATGTTCTTAAGGCCTCCAGTTATGTCTGTTTTATAGTTGCCTAATTAATTTTTTTAAAGAAAATTCTGATATAGGGGGAAGTGTAAGTATGTCTAATTAAAAGATTGATGAAACCAAAGAATTGCCCTGTGATAGTCTCCGTAGTTTTTGCACACAACCTGCTCACTGTGGCTTGCATGTTTTGCAATCTGCTCATTAAAGGTTGTTGTTGCTGCTTGTTTAGGAGGCCCAGAATGAGGAGCCCTTCTACTGGAATGGAAGGTGCCTAGTGACAGCATTATAATAGATTAAGTAGGTTCATCTGTCCTGAATGCGCATAGTGTATAAAAAGAATACAAGAAACTGTTGTCCACGTGGCAATGTATGAACTATACCAGCAAGTACACTTGTACAGTTAAAAGAAAAAGAAATCATTTTTAAATCCCCTTTTAAAATAGTGCTTATTGTTTGTATTAGAATTAAAAGTTAGGTCTCCACCACCACAGTAGCATAGAAGCATAATTCTGAACCACGATTAGCCATTTAACCCAGTTTACCATAACGTGATGAAAGACCAAAGCTGTGGTTTGGGTTTGAAGATAACAGTGGAGACCCATGGAGACCCATAAGTTCCATATCACTCTCTCCAGTGCCGTTTAAATGTTCTCCCAAGCTCATATGAGCCTTTTTTTTCTCAGTGAACATGATCAAATGTCACCCATCAGGGTATGTAGCCCTAGATCAGAGTCTCATGGATAAATGACACTGACTCAGCTAGGAGAGCATTTAAGAGCCGTTTCTGTCTATTCTTGGTCATATGTTCAGGCTATAACATAATATGAACAGTTCAGCATGTTGAAATATATTGTCTTTTCAAATAAGGACCTTACATTATTAGTAGATTAGAAGTGTTAGTAACATTTTGCTATCCGCTTTAGTTTGGTTCTCTTGATTAGATCACTTAGCTTTAAACGTTCCTTTCCATAGCCTCATCATTCTAATAAGTTGGAATTACAGTATATAAATGAAGGGGAGCAACTGGCCTTTCAGGTACCCTTAACTGCAGTTATCATTGTGCTTGGGCAATAGTAGTTCAACAACATCTAGAGGGTTCCAGCTGGCCATCCTTCCTGCTGGTCAATGTGCAAGTAGCAGGCAGAAGGTTCTCTCTTTGAACAAGGCTTTAACCTGTGTTTCTTCCAACTCTTGAGATTTCATGATAATTAAATTGTGTGATTGTTCTGAAGGAGGAGCTGACAAATGTGTGTGTTTGCTTGTTTAAGATATGATTATGCACTCAAGGCACAAAAATTAGGGACCCATCCTCACTTCTGAAAGATAAAAGTTGGGAACAAGATATAAGACTAATGTTCACACATCAGGCTTAATTTGGAACCGACTCTGTCTCATTCTGTTTATGCTAATGCTTGATCACTGACGAGATAGAAGAGAGCATAACTATTTAAGTCGTTATGTGTCAATTTCAAAAACTTTGTGCAGATGTTTCAGTGCAGTTACATTGATGCAGCTGTTGGGTGATGGGTTACCTTTGGGGGAATGACTTACAAATGAGATCAGGATCTGGCCTTGTGCCCACAAATATTGATATAAATATATTATTCTGAAAATGGATCTTAATTGCAGAGGGTTGCCACAAATGAAAATATGCGCAGCATAAATACCTCATAGCATATGCACATAGCAACAGAAGCAGAGACATATTTATATCCCAGCAGCTGTTCATTGCAATTTACAATGTGAGTTCCAGGCTGCTGTTTTGGAAAATAGCAGTTCCTTTGCCTTTTATTCTTATGTCTATGGTGCAGTTTGCCAAATTGCAGGAAGTTAAATCTTAAAATGGGAAAAATATCCTGTGACAGGCAGAATATCCCATGGAATAAATGGAAACAATCTGTTACCCTTGATAACACTGCTGATCACAGTTTATTGGCCTATATTATGGTATAACATTGCATCCTACATGCACAAGTTAGTTGAGGCCTACAGTTCAAAATTATGTAACCTTTTTACTCGCAAGATACAATAGATTTTTGTTAGCCTCCATGGGAACATTATCCTCTTTTTAGTAAGAGAATTGGATTATCTCTGATAATTAGCATGGAGGATCAAACTAGATGGTGTGTCTCTGCTTAGCACATATACCTGGAAGAGTTTTCTGTCAAGTAATGAAAGACATCACACTCTGCCATGACAAGTACTTTTTCTCACCTCCATATGTTGTCCTCCAGCTTACTTAACTTTTGTGATTGGCCAATGGAGGGTAAATATGAGTTTAACTGAAAAAATAATGCAAGAGGGAAGACACTCAGTGCATAAAATGCACTTCCCTGTTGAGACACTGATTAATTCAGAGAACTTCTCAGAGAATGAGCTAGGCAAGGAGAGATAAGGGGCCTGAGCTACACAGCAAGATGAAAAGAAAGTGTGATTTTGGAGGGTGTACGCTGTCTTTCAAATTACAGTATTGACCTCCAGAGTTGTTGTATTACAGATCTGGCCTTTAATTAAATCAGTTTTGTTGCACCTCCTGTAGCTGGAGGCATTTTATCTTGCGACTGGTATTGCAGGGTCCCATTGGGGACTGTTGACTCTTCACTGGAGATGAAGATGCTCTGCTTCCACAGGCCAAGCTAATTAATGTGCTGAGCTGCTAAATTAGTGCCGCCTTCAGTCAGTCTTGTGATGTTTGATCTCCACCACTAAACAATAAGGTGACTACTTAAGCCCATTTTACTATGACCTTTTCCCTGACCTTAATAGTAAGATTTTGGTTTCTTCCCTACAAAAGGCAAGGTCACTTTTTCACTCCGAGGAATTAAGAATGATCAAACTCGTACAATACAATGTGTATAGTCAATAATGGATGATATTTTGGTAACAACTTTTGTTAATTGCTGAACCCCGCTTTAAAAAAGAAAAGAAAAAAGAAGGAATTAACTTCATTTTGTTCCTTTGATTGGCATAGTCTTATCTTTCCAATATTTTTTCAAAGGAATTGCTCCCTTGATTGATTCATTACTTTGTTGGTTTAAGCTCATTATTATTTTAATCATTTCCTCAAAATTTCTGGTAACTATGTTGCTAAAATTTAATCTTATGAGCAAAGAAAACCCATAAGTAGCACAGATTTATTGTCTGCAGGTTTCCAAACTTTGTTATTTTCCTTGTGCATTTACAGATATTCCGAAGAGTTTATGTGTTATGCAGAAGTGCAGACATGTCTTATCTGTTCATATTCCCCAATCAGTGGTAATCAGAGAGGCACACATACCCCTTCCAATACTAGATGTAATGTGTAGCCATCATTGTAGCTCCTTTAAAGCACTACTATTGTGAACTGATTGAAACTGGTTGAAACTTGTTCCTCTATTTACTTCATGCAATGCATAGGTTTATCTGAGGACTCATGTTCTCCCATATGCCCCAGGATATGAGATCTTCCATGGTGTCCTTTCTTTTGGTCCTCTTACAGTCTTGGAGTCATGCCTGGCAATAATGCAACAGAGGGCTTTCTGAGTGTTGCTTCCAGGCTCTGCAACCTGCATACCAAGAAGGGCTAAGATGCTTCCTTCCCTGTTGTACTGGCTGGTGGTGAAAAAAATTCACCTCTGGCTGGTGACTTTTTTTTCCATTCAGGCAGGCTGTGGGCAATTGACTGGTTGCTGAGGGTAGGGTTTCTTCCCAGTTGGATATATGCAGTTGGAGATATATGGACATTATGGGACTTTAATTAATTCCTGTTTTTCAATATTTTAACTTATTTTGTGCTTTAATTGTTCATTTTATTCAGTATTATTGTGAACTGCCTTGAGTCCCATTTTACTGGGAAATATACATCCAACAATTAATTAAAATACTGTATTTATAAACTACTGCTGTGTCATCTTTTAGTCACATATTTTGTAAATACAGTACTAATATCTCAAAGCCTTTTCTGTGATAGAATACCTTTCCTCATATGTGAGGAAAGGTTTTCTATCACAGAAAAAAAGAGGTGAGATGGGCCTCTGGTCATTTAGGTCCCAATTTTTTGCACCAGATATATACAGTATAGTGTGTGTGTATAAAATACAGAGTGATTCCCACCACTTAACATGGACATCTTGTCACCCGGTGAAAATATCTGATTATTTAAAAGTCAGCTAGTAAACAGTCTCTGCACTTTATTGTTAGGAATATATATAGCTAGGCAAATTTTCCATACTGAGCTCAATTTTTTGACCAGATGTCTAGTTTCTGTCTCTCACATAAGAAGATGTGGGATTACTGTCTTTTGAAAAATTAATTAGTATTTTTTATCTCTCTTTTCTGTGTCTGTATCTAGAACCTGCTTTTTATTTTGGGGATACCGAATATCATGTATCTGAGAGTGCTGGTTATGTGGAAGTTCGTGTTTGGAGAACGGGTACAGACTTGTCCAAAGCAGCCACTGTCACTGTGCGTTCCAGAAAAACAGAACCAATATCTGCAGAAGGTGAATTATTTTCCCTGGTATCACTTTTTGTATATAGTTTCTACCCTCACATCCTTATGCATTGTTCAAAAAACTTGCAGATATACAGGAAAGTGATACAGAAGTGAAGTTTGGCTCCAGTTTCAATAAATGTCTTCTTTGTCTCTCAGTCCAGGCTTCAGTATGTACGTTGTTAGTCCAGAATGTGAAAACATAGGTGATAGTAGAGAAGACTAGAAAGGGAAAAGTCTCTTCCTCAGTTTGAATGGAAGCAAGGAAGCATGTAATATAGACCATTCTGAAAACGTTTGCAAAATGTGAACGCCAGATACTTACTTTTAGAATATTTTTCTGATCTTTGTGTTTTCTGATTATAATAGTGGGATCTAGAACAAAATTATGAAACATGGAGTGCTTCTGTTTTAGAGTTTGAGCAGCAAGGACTGCTTTGTTCCATCTACCCAGCCCCACCTGTCCGCATTTTGTAACCACAGAACACACTCACCTCTTTTTAGGCTGATCTGATATAATATTTTTTAAAAAAAAATATTTTTCTTTCTCTTGGTAATGCAAGGATTGCCCACAACTTGCAGATATTCCTTGTTGTGTGGGGAAGGTACCGTTTGGTTATACAGTATAACCAATACATTCTTTCCTTCTGGATTATTCAGACACGCCTTAGACTACCTTTCAGGGTTGTTATGGGGATGAAATGGGGAGCCAGAAGAGCCATCTTGAACTCTTAGGAAGAATATTCTATGGAGTTGACTTTGACTTATGGTGACCCTTCTAAGTTTGCTGCAGTGATGGGGACTCATGGCTGAGTTCGACTTAAGTTACACAGGCAACTTGGGTTTTTGTTTTTCCAAAACGACTTGGGACTTGGACTTGGGGGTTGGGCCTCAAGCCTTGGACGCGAAGACTTGCCAACATCCCTGGTTTGCTAGGTATAAAATATTCAAGAAATGATAACCACTCCCTCATTCTCGTGGAGTTCTGGGGTCATGCAGCTTTCTTAAGGTTGCATAGGTGGCAGGAAACACTGCCCCATCAGCCACATATGGTATGGGTAATCTTGGTTAGTCTCTATCCCAGGAAACACAGTGAGGATTTGAACTCACATACTTCTTGCACAGTGTCTTGCACAGTGTTGGATAGTCCATAGCAAGACACCCCAACCCACTGAGCTATACCAGCATTTCACTGGAGAAAAGGTAAGATGTAAAAGTAACTGAGAAATATAAAAATAATATACAGGATTTTTTTCTGCTTAGGGCAGTAAACACAGACTGCTGCTATTTGTCAGTTGGTTAATGTCACCTTAGATGTTGACTGAAGTAATTCAGGAAGAAAAGTAGAGAAGTCACAGAAAATAGATGGGTTAAGAAAATAAGACTGTGGATGAACAAAAAGTTTTCAGTGGGAGGGCCAAAAGGAAAGGGATGCATGAAGTGCAGAAAAATGAGAGGGGCAAGACAGAAAAGAAAATTTGAGCAAAATAAGAAGCTAAGGAAAATATGAAAGGAGAAGAGCCGTTTCTGAGGGACATGGAGACAGCATGGAAGGATGGAAGAATAAATGTGGGGGTTTTCTTCCCACTGATTTAGGGTCTATGAAGTCATACATAATTGTCTGCTTTGAGTTTTTTTAGTTAGGGAAAAGATGAGCAAATTTTTTTCAAGGGCGATCCTTAACTTGTGCATATGTGTACTGTTTGTAAGAGATGAAGAGAGATAAATTTTGAATTTACTGAAAGCCATGGGAGTTATCTGTATTATAGTGCAGGTGTCTGCACAGAACTGATCTACATCAGTTAAGCACAAACTATAACACAGAAACCTGCCAAAAATATTATATGTCAGCTTCTCCTATATTACAAAGACACTAGAGAAAAACTAGGGTAAGGTAAGGTATGTCAGTCTATGTGTGATTAATGCAAATTCTCATGAAGGCAAAAAGAAAGGAAAAATAGTTTTAATTCAAGTGAGACTTTGTGACCACAAATGTTTTTATTTTATTTTTTGGAAAAAGACATTCATGATTTCTGTGAAGTCGTGTTGATTTCATGGCATGAGTTCAAACGAATGATATCAAGGTGAAATAAAAACAGTTGCTTGTCACCGGAGATGGCTCTGTCATAGAAGGAAGTCCTTTTGCTTGCATAAGTCAAGGCATAATTTTTCCTGACCCTTCCCCTCAGGGCAGACCTCCCTGACATGTCTCATTCTGGAAAGATTTTGTTCTGTATCCCTCCTGTGTTCTCCTGTGTTCCAGAAGAAGGGTAGTTAACCCTCAAGAGCATCTTTTCAGGGTTAACAGGGTTAAGTTACTTAGGTAGATCAGCAAAAGACCAGGAGCTCTTATTTGCTTAATTAAGCAAGAATGCTTTTGTGTGACAAAAGCTGCCCCTGGATATGCCCCAGCATATCTTGATGTTATGATTATATCCTGCAAATAATTGAATACCGTTCCTGCTTTTTATATAGCTGGTGTTGATTATGTTGGGATCAGTCGAAACTTGGATTTTGCTCCCGGTGTAAATATGCAAACTTTCCGTGTGACAATCTTGGATGATTTGGGGCAGCCTGTTCTCGAAGGTCCAGAAAAATTTGAACTAGTACTTCGTATGCCTTTGAATGCAGTACTTGGGGAGCCAAGCAAAACTACCATATTTATCAACGATACCATCACTGATTGTAAGTACTATAGATTCTGTCCTGCACACTTAAAATTCTCAGGAAAGCAAATTCGAATTCATACCAGAACTAATGTTAAGATTTAAAAAAAGAAAACAATCCAATAAAAGCAAATGTTAGAAATTATTCCCCCCTTATCCTATTCAGAGCTGGTGCCTAAAGTTCTATCCTTCCGAGGTTGGTAAAATGAGTACCCAACTCACTGGCCGGGGGGGGAGCAATGTGTAGCCCGTATAATTAACTTGTATGCTCACTGGCGGTGTGGGGGGGGGGAGCAATGTGTAGTGCGTTAATTAACTTGTGAACCACCCAGAAAGGGTAGTATATAAGCAGCACACTTTGCTTTTTTGCTTTGATAGTATCTCCTCACATTTTCTAGTAGATTTAGAAGCCTCTTTAATATTACGTTTCATTGCTGTGCTGCAAGTATAGTAGAAGATATCACAAGGTTGTTGCCACATATTTATTAAAAATATTTTTACCCCACCTTTCTCCTTAAAAGGACCCACCATTCATAAACCCCATACCAATACTTATTTCAACCCGGCAAAAATAGCCTCCCTGGCTAGGAAAACTTGCAGTAGGGAATGAGTCTAGGGCTGCTGGAAGCATCAGTGCTAAATGCAGCAGCAACTGCTAGCAATGCATGTTGGCAATATAAAGCAGAAGCATTTCAAAGCATTTGTAAGTGGGCATGAAGTCACTCTGCATTGCCTTTGACGTGCTTGTTTATTCATGACTCTGGAACCTTTCTGGGTCTTTTCAAATAACAGTACAATCTTAGCACAATAAAGTAGCCTCATGTAGCCTCCCATCCCTTGATACTGGTTTTGCAGTTCCTGACCAATAGTTACTCTGGTTGCTGGGAGAGAATACAAAGATTAGCTATCATTTTAAATAAAAATTCTGTGACTGTAAGAATACTTCCATCATCTATGACCATCTACCAAAGTATTAGACTGCAGTCTTCTGTATACTTACTACTAGAGTAGAGGCACCATTGAACTGAAGACTGATTTATAGTTAGCAAGTTCCGTATCACCATTTCCCAGTCAGTATACTATAGGCACTTCTCTATATATACATTACAGTGCATATGTAGCTATAGATAAAAACTTGGGTTTTTAATTTATTTTCCATGCTTGCTGTAAGACAAATGTTCCATGAGTTCAGTGAGCTCACTCTATGTGCCTCTGAATTGTATAGAGATCAAAGAGGAATGTGAATAAAACTACTCATTCTTCTGGAATTCTTTTTTTTTTTTGTTTTTGTTTTTTTGTAGTACCAAAAGTCCAATTTAAGGAACCATTGTACACAGTAAATGAAAAAGATGGGAAGCTGTCAGCTATAATTTACCGTAGTGGTGATGTTAACCATAAATCTACAGTGCGCTGCTATACTCGCCAGGGTTCTGCCCAGGTTATGATGGATTATGAAGAGAGACCAAACACAGATGATTCCGTAGTAGTATTTCTTCCAGGTAAGATCTCATCTTTTTTTGTTTTTTAAAAGAAGTTTCCTATATAATCAAACTATTGCATTCTCAGAATTTGTCCTGGAAATTTTTGGATTACAGCAGCCTATATGATGCTTGAAGGGTGTAGCAAGCAGTGACATCTCTTTGTTGTCTCCCATGTAAACATGAGCAATTAATCCAGATTGAAGCTAGCATGAAGGAGTGGGGATAGTATCCCTTTGTCTGTGCTGAGGGTCCATGTCTGCAATTTGCATTCCTTTAAAAATGGATTTAAAAAAAAATATTGTTTTGCAGTTGTGCAGCTTATAACAGTATGATTATGCATTTATTTGGGTGCATTTATTTGGGAATCACTTTGGAGAACAAGAAGTTAAAGCCCACAGTGCTTTTTCCATGTGCTATCTGGATTGAATGCACTATCTCTGTCTTCGAGTAAGGGAGAGAACATTGCTGTTACTACTGTATATCATTAAAATATCATTTAGTTTGTCTCTCAGAAGCACTGATAGGCACCATAGATAACTATGATTTCAGTGCTATGTGCATTTACTAGGCAGTGATTGCCACTAAATTGAATGGGACATATACAGGCTGGTGTATATAAATACAGTAAATGACTCTGGTTGTTCTTGGAAAGCAATGTTCAGATGCAGTTTCTAAAATAAAAGTCAATGACATTGACAGCAACAGAGATTCCAGGTTCAAGTACCAACATCTAATCTCAAGATTTTATTTTTATTTCTTTAACCCATTTGTTCTGCTATAGAACCTTAATTAGTTGTTTCTTGGAAACTATTCAGAAATGTAGAACCTTAATAAGTTTTAGTTGTTTCTTGGAAACTATTCAGAAATGACTTGCGCACACCTTAAGGAGGTATGCTCTGTGTGTGTGTGTGTTAGAACCTAGGACCAGACTCTGTGTTTTAGGACCTTCTTTAAGCAAATATCCAAGCAGGCATGTGTACCAAGTTTATATTTGATATATGATGCACAAATCTAAACATGTTTGCTCAGAAGGAAATCCAGTGAAGTTCAGTGGACTATACTTCCTAATCTTAAATGTTAGTCTTTGAAAGAAAGACGACAATACTAAAGATATCCTTTCCTGCTGCTTCTCCTGCCTTGATCAAAACGAACATGGTGTAAGCAGGTCTTCAGATTATAGGCATGTAATTGGCTACCACCTACTCACCTGTGCATTTATTAGAACCAATAGAAAAACAGAGCTTGAAATTACCCTAGGCCAGCCCCAAGACAGATTCTGATCATGTGAATGGGCAATATCTTTAAATCGTGGTATGTGCCTTTTCAGTGTTTGTGTGCTAATACCAAGGGAAGTGACTAACTGCTTCATACAGATGGGTATGGTTTTTCACAGTTTGGGTTTTTCACTGATGTTAACATGCCCATTGTGACTTGTTCAGTGTCTGTCTTCTTTTTCTTCTTTTCCGTTAATAAGGATGTTTCCTAAGATGGTATCTATAAACCAATTAAGCCAGAGTACTTGTTACTAATCCACTTTCATGGGAAACCATTCTTCAGAAAGGCCTTTGGGCCATGAATGGTTTTTGAACTCCTTTGCTGAACTGTCTTTAACTTTCTGGAAGTTGTCAGGTCGAATTGCTTTCAATGATTGTACTTTCTAGGTTTCATCTTCTATCACTTTTGCTGGTTTGTTATATTGCATTTGTTTTAAATTAACTCTAACTTCCTTAGGGGAAAGGTGGGATGTAAATGTTATAATATAAACAATGTAAGTAAATTAAATAATCCAGAAAACACTAAATGAGAGGTATATGTGTTTGCAGTTTCCCAAAATTAGATTATTTACCTTTGTACCAGCATCCAGTGATTACTTTATCTGTGAATATGGTGATTGTACAAACTAAACGTGTGTTAATCTCAGCTAGACTACATCCGTTGAATAAATAGTACTTTTAAAATAAAAATTTGTGGAAGTTTCATTGCTTCAATATGTTTATGTTAGCAAACCATAGGATTTAACCCTTTTATGTTTAAATGGATGTCAGCATCAATGTTAGGTGCTACCAAAGATGCCCATAGAAGCTGTTTCTTTTTACTATCACAGGAGAGATTGAGAAGCCTTGTGTGGTAATTCTGGAGGATGATGCTATCTATGAAGAAGAGGAAGAGTTCAGACTAGTGCTTGGAACACCAAAAAGCACTACTTCTGCATTTGGTGCCTCTGTTGGGGAGCAAAAAGAGACTTTAGTGAAGATTAAAGATGAAGAAGACAGTGAGTTTATTATCTATCTTTCACTCTTCCTCTTTAAGCAGTACTCACACTATCATGTTGTTGTCACTGTTGAGCAGATTAATGGATGCTCGTAATTAGCATTCTCTCTGCCAACAAATACATTGTGTAGCTAGGCAATAAACAAAACTGGAGGATTAACAAAAATGTTGTTTTGCCTGTTTTGTTTTGTTTTTATCTGTTCTTCTCCCTCAGGCCTCTCTGTCTGTCTGTAAATAAAATTTACACTTGATTAAATAAGAGAGATTGACGCTTTTCAGTTCTTTTCCAGAACCAGTGATTAAATTCTCTGAAATCAAATACAGCATTCAAGAACCTCAGGAACCTGGGGAAATTGCAGTTGTAAGGATTCCTGTCCTGCGTCTTGGGGACAGTTCTAAAGTTTCCATTGTGAGAATTCATACAAAAGACGGTTCCGCTGTCTCTGGAGAAGACTACAATCCAATGTCTGATGGTAAGATGCTGACCTGAATTTTAGGAAAATTACAGAAATCTATTATGGCTTTCCCAAGCGTGGTGCCCTGTGGTGGTGTTGGGCGGTTTACAACTTCTGTCACCCTCAGCTAGTGTGCTGGATGAGGATAATGGGAGTTATAGTCCAACACGTCAGTTTTAGAAGGCTGGTGTGAAACAATTGCGGCATGCCTATAAAGTATGGATACAAACCTATGAAAAACAAGACAACAATACTATGCAGGCATGACCAGAACATAACCATTTCTCATCCCTTCATGATCATAACAATGAAAAAAAAAACAAATTTGGCATAATGCAGAATAAATAGCCTAGATATATTGTTTTTGTTTTTAGGTTTTATGAACTGCCATTCTGCTGGCTATGGGCCCAAAGTAAATTTGGCACTCTCAGTGAGAAGCCAAGCCTGTTGCTTTTTTGGATCCTAGCCCAAGTCTGCTGATGATTTGAGCAAAGGATTTCCATTTTTCTTGGAGGGAAAAAAAGCTGCTTTTCATTTCAGATATTGAATTCAAAGAAGGGGAAACAGAGCACTTTGTTGAAGTTGAAGTTTTGTACGATGGAGTGAGAGAAATGCGTGAAGCATTTACAGTACATTTGAAACCTGATGAGAATATGGTAGCTGAGACACAGGTAAGAACTGAGTGATTTGATATATCATGCTTGGGTCAGTTTGCATTTGATTTGGAAACATCAAAGCATAAAAGGCTTTCTGTTCTCTGAATTTCTAGAATGCCATTTTTAAAGACCATACTGGAGAGGAGACATATGATCAGAGATCCTATTGTTTTTGTTGATTTTTTTAAAATGTATGGGCCCTTGATTTAAAATCCCATACCAAGAGTCTATCTACAGTGGTGCCCCGCATAGTGACGTTAATCCGTTCCGGATTAATTGTCGCTATCCGGAAACATCGCAATGCGGGTGGGAAAACCCCATAGAAACGCATTAAACTTCGTTTAATGCATTCCTATGGGGTGAAAACTCACAGTTATGCAAAGATCCTCCATAGCGCTGCCATTTTCGAGGAAATCGCGTGAAAATGGTTGCGGTGGCCATTTTGGAACCGCTGATCAGCTGGCCGAAAATGGGGCTGGCGCTTGGGCAGGAAGGCGGTGGAAGGCTCCCCCACCCTCCTCCTGAGTGCACGCCAGCTTTTTCGGCTGGCTGACCGGCCAGCGCTTGGCCAGGAGGGCGGGGGAAGGCTTTTTCAGCTGGCGCTTGAGCAGGAAGGCGGGGGAATGCTTTTTCGGCTGGCGCTTGGGCAGGAGGGCGGGGGAAGGTTCTAGGCCCCTTTTTCCCCCAGCTGACCGGTGGGGGCTTCGGAAGTAAATTCTGAAACTCCCACCGGTCAGCTGGGGGAAAATGGGGCCTATGGGGAAAAATCGCAAAGCTAGCCTGGCTGAGGCAGCAAAAGCGATCGCAAAATCTTCTTCGCTATGCGGATTCATCGTTAAACGGGACGCCCGTTAAGCGAGGCACCACTGTACTTGAGCAGGACAAATAGATACAAACCATCCAGTAGTACCAACACATACAATCCAGTAGTATCTATTTGCCTATTTTACAAATGCCCATTTTGATTATGCTTAAATTCATTGCTTGAATGCCAGCTTTTTTTTTAAATAACCTGATATTTTTCACACATGAAACTTAGACATTTAGAGTCAAATGAACTATGAAAGTTCCTGTTGTTTTAGAAATAATTTCCTATATGCACTGTGGGTCTGAAGTAGTGGTGGGATTCAGCAGGTTTGCACCAGTTCTATAGAACCGGTAGCTAATGTACGATCGGTTCTGCAGAACCGTTTGTTGGCCTGCTGAATCTCACCACCGCAGTGACGGCAGCAGCCGACACCTGCCTCCTGCTGCTGCTGCCACCTCCCCCCCACCGCGCCCAAGTGCCGGCTTCCCTGCCTCCCCTTCCTCTCTCGCCCTCTCGCCTCCCTCCTTCCATCTACCCAGAGCAGAGCGAGGAGCAATAGGAAGCCAAGACATGGGCAGAGGAGGGGAAGGGAGGGTGTGGAGGTGTGAAAGGAGAACGGCGCACTCTCAGGGCGAAGAAGACACAAGAGCCAACCAACGAGAAAGGGAGGAAGAGGAAGAAAGCAGGAGCGGCGGCCACCTCAGAGAGGGTGAGAGGAAGCACAACGCCTCCAGCCGGCTGCCCCACCAGCCACTTGGGCGGTTTCGTGCCGGAGTGCTCCCTCGCCTGCCCATGGGCACTCTCGCCAGCATGCTAGGCACAAGGCAGCCACGCGCTTCTTCCCACTATGGTGGAGGGAGGAGGAGGAGGAGGAGGGGCATTTAAAGGAGCTTTTGAGTTGTTTTGGGATGGAGTGGGCGGTCAGCAGCAGCAACAGCTGCCCTTGACTCGGGCTCCACCTCTCCCACCGCCCTGGCCGTAGGGCATGAAGCTCCACCACCGGCGTGATGCAGAAGGGGGGCACCCGGCCAGATGCGCCCACACCTCTCGGCGCAGCGGTCCTCTTCAGGGTTGTTTCAGTGGGCTGGCCACCAGAGGGGAGCACCCTCTCTCCCTCCCCAGGGAAAGGCAGCCCCTTCCTCCCTCGTGCCTCTGAAAGAGGCGAGGGCCGCCCCTCAGAGGTGGTGCCTGGGGGAGGAGGAACTAGAACTCCCAGAATCCCCCTCTCTCAGTCGGCTCCTCCGCCCCGACTGGCCTGTGGGAGCTGCCGGCCCCCTTTGCTGCCACCGACCAATCAGAGGAAGCGGGCCTGCCTTGCCCCCATGGGGGTGGGGTGGGGCAGGAGCAGGAGGAGGATGAGAGGGGAGGACATAGAACCTGTTGTTAATTTTTTTGAATCACATCACTGGTCTGAAGTTGTTATTGTTACTGATATTCTTCTATTCTGGATCTAAAGATCCCCTTCCCCAATGAAGAGGGACTTTTGGGTTCAGACCTTTGCATGGATTTGGAGAATTAGACAGAAAGAAGCAGACACCTTAGGCAGCTGGTTTTCAGTATGATGAAAGGCAGCATATTTTAAAGCTATGTGATTTGTTATTACATATGTATTGTACAGTATTTGGGGAATACTGTGTATCTTGATTATGCAAGAGGGGTGTCAGTGGCTAGCCTGGCTGAGGCAGTAAAATTTCTTGGGTTGGCTTGTGCTATAGAATGATTTTCTTTCCCACAAGTCAATATGTTGCATTCTGATAATATTTGTGCATCAATTTTATCATAAAGGACAAACTATTGGAAGGATTTCTTTACACAGAAGCATGCCTTTTATATCCCTTTTCCATTCATGAATATTTTATAATTTCCTATATGCACTGTGGGTCTGAAGTAGTGGTGGGATTCAGCAGGTTGGCACCAGTTCTATAGAACCGGTAGCTAATGTACGATCGGTTCTGCAGAACCGTTTGTTGGCCTGCTGAATCTCACCACCGCAGTGGCGGCAGCAGCCGACACCTGCCTCCTGCTGCTGCTGCCACCTCCCCCCCACCGCACCCAAGTGCCGGCTTCCCTGCCTCCCCCTCCTCTCTCGCCCTCTCGCCTTCCTCCCATCTACCCAGAGCAGAGCAAGGAGGAGTAGGAAGCCAAGACTTGGGCAGAAGAGGGGAAGGGAGGGTGTGGAGGCATGAAGGGAGAACGGCGCACTATCAGGGCGAAGAAGATACAAGAGCCAACCAACAAGAAAGGGAGGAAGAGGAAGAAAGCAGGAGGGACGGCCACCTCAGAGAGGGCGAGAGGAAGCACAATGCCTCCAGCCGACTGCCCCACCAGCCACTTGGGTGGTTTGGTGCCGGAGTGCTCCCCCGCCTGCCCGTGGGCACTCTTGCCAGCATGCTAGGCGCAAGGCACCCACGCGCTTCTTCCCGCCGTGGTAGAGGGAGGAGAAGGAGGGGCATTTAAAGGAGCTTTCAAGTTGTTTTGGGGTGGAGTGGGCGGTCAGCAGCAGCAACAGCTGCCCTCGACTCAGACTCCACCTCTCCCATTGCCCTGGCCATGGGGCATGAAGCTCCACCACCGGTGTGATGTAGAAGGGAGCCCCCAGCCAGACGCACCCACACCTCTCGGCGCAGTGTTCCTCTTCAGGGTTGTTTCAGTGGGCTGGCCACCAGAGGGGGGCACCCTCTCTCCCTCCCCAGGGAAAGGCAGCCTCTCCTTCCCTCGTGCCTCTGAAAGAGGTGAGGGCCGCCCCTCAGAGGTGCTGCCTGGGGGAGGAGGAACTACAACTCCCAGAATCCCTCTCTCTCGGTCAGCTCCTCCGCCCCGATTGGCCTGTGGGAGCTGCCGGCCCCCTTTGCTGCCGCCGACCAATCAGAGGAAGTGGGCCCGCCTTGCCCCATGGGAGGTGGGGCAGGAGCAGGAGGAGGACAAGAAGGGAGGACATAGAACCTGTTGTTAATTTTTCAATTGAATTGCAGGAAATGGAAGAGGGAATGGGGGAAAGAACATGACCAAAAGCCTTCTTGCAGGGGTGTCAGGAAATCCTGCTTGATCAGAGAAACTCTCATCAGGAGTTTTCTGTGTGATTATGTAACAAGAATTTGACACATCGTTACTACAAACTAGGGCCTTTTTTCTCCTAATAAAATGGGTTAGAGTTTTAGATACTAATGTTTGCTCGTCTGTGTGACTGCAACATGAAAAATTCAATAATATCTCAAAACCTACTAAATATTTTACTATCGCTTCCAAGAAGTTGACTGTATCAAAAAGCTGATTCTCCTCTCTTATCAACTTTCATCCAGTTATCATCTAATCCTATTTCACTCATTGACTGGCTAGGAGGACTTAGATTACAGTTTTTCCTCTGTTTAGGTTACTGTGCACATGGATGTACAAGGCTGCTTCGCCAGTCTTTGTTGTGGTCTACTATGTGCTGTTGCTTCAGGTTTACTGCCTTTTGCTGACCTCTGCCTGCATTTCTTATCTCAAAGATTGCCTCTCCAATTGTCTTCTTGAGCAGTACAGTGGTTCCTTGAGTTACGAACTTAATTGGTTCCAGAAGATGGTCATAACTCAAATTGGTCATAACTCAAAGCACCATTTCCCATAGGAATACATTGAAACACGATTGATCCATTCCTGCTGGGGAAAAAAACACAGAAAAGCAAACAAAGACTGCAAGACCCATTGGAAATGTGATTGATCCGTTCTGGCTGGAAAAAAAAAAAAACCAAAAAGCAAACACTGCAAGACTCATTGGAAATGCAGGGGGGAAACCCCAAAAACGAAACACTGCAAGACCCATCGGAAACACAACCCACACACACACACCAAAAATCAAAGACTGAAAGACCCATTGAAAATGCAAAAAAAAAAAAAAAAAAGCAAAGCAGAAAGCAAGCAAACCCCGCAAGAAAAGCTAACAAAGTCTGGAAGACCCATCAGAAATAAGGAAAAAAACCCATCAAAAAGCAAACAAAGACTGCAAGACCCATCACAGCATAGCCCAAACCCACAATGCAAACTTCTCAGCCCAAACCCACACTGCAAATCCCTGTACTCACTCAGAACTGGCATTTTAAAAAGCAGAAAGCAGCACCAGGCAGTCCAAAGCCTTTTCCGAACACACACACTCTAACTGCTGGGGCAAAAAAGCTACAAAGAAGCAGCCTCTTCGCCACCAATGGTTAGCAATTTGAGTTCCCCACCTTTTTTCCGGTTGTAACTCAAAGCTCCAATCGCAAGTCAAAGCAAAATTTTGCGGCCGGAGCCAGTCATAACTCAAAATGTTTGCAAGTCAAGATGTTCATAAGTCGAGGCATCACTGTATCAGCTTTGCCCAATGGTTTGCCCTCAGACTTCATCTACTAATGATGGTAGTCTGAAATCTAGACTTTTTCCAACATCTTCTAACCTCTTCCTTCAGTGGTTGCTTCCTACTGGCTTCCTCTTTCTTCCTTAGATTCTCTGCACTGACCACCTTCTGATTAAATGATCCCATTGAATCTTATATGCTATTCAGGAAATATTTATTTATTTATTTAAAATATTTACATGCTACTTTTCTCCCCAAGGGTCCAGGGCGGCTTACAGTATTAAAAGAAAATTATAAGCGAAAATAAATTATTGCAATGTTAAAGCATTAAACAGATGTCATATTAAAACTCATAAATAAGAGCAATATTAGAGCTGCTTCTCCATCCCTCCATCCAGATGTTGTGTAGGACAGAGACACTAGAGACCAGGGTTCAAACTCCCTGAGAACTAAGCAGGAAGTTACTGTATTTCTGAAGGGGCACAGAAATAGTTGAGGTACTGGTGATTGAATTGCAGGAAATGGAAGAGGGAGTGGGAGAAAGAACATGACCAAAAGCCTTGCAAAGAGGATCCAAGACCCTTGACTGTATGAAGGCATTTGCTTCGAATCAGGAAGCGGTACAGGAACACTTTCTCTCCCTCAAAAACCAGCACTGTTGGAACAGTCTCTCTCCTCCCCCCTCAATTCCTTTGCATTCTTTGCATTTGCAGACTTCTGATACCCCTCTCTTCCTCCCTCCCCCCAATCAAGCAGGTCTCGCTCCCCATGCCCTGCCCTCCCCAAACACTAGTGCACCCCCAAGTCGAGTCCTTAAACCAAATCCTGGAGGAAAAAAACCCTTTGCACATATCCCTCCTCCTATCCTGCCTTCTCCACCTGTCCAGTCATATTCTTCGTTATTTCAATTATATTATTGTTTACTGTCCTTGGTGTTAGTCTCAGTAGGTTCCCAAACTGGGGTCCCCAGATGTTCTTGGACTTCAGTTCCCAGAAGCCTTCATCACTTGCTGTGCTGGCCAGGCTTTCTGGGAGTTGCAGTCCAAGAACATCTGGGGACCCAAGTTTAAGAACCACTGCCCTAGCAGAAGATAATATTTCACTTACACATTACTACTCCATTGTTTTGAAACTCTTTTTCAAAATGAAACAGAACAACTAAACCATACTGTTCACATCTACATCTGTGCAGTTCTTTGTACAGGAGACTCACATGCTTAAAACTTAACCGGTTGTGAAGTAAGCCATCATTTCTGCAGTCAATGTTAAAATAAGGGTTTTCATTTCCAGACAAATCTCTGCCCTCCTCTCCCCTTCCATCCTCTGCTGTCTTGCTTGCTCTTTCTAACCTCCTCTGACATCCTCCCTTTTCTTCCATCCATACTTTGCTGTTTTCCTTTTTCTTTCAGTCACCCTTGACAGTCTTCCCCTTCCGTGTATCTATCGTACGCTGCCCTCTTTGCTTCTTCTCTCTATTCAACTTCTTCTCTCTGAGGCTGCAATACTTTGCCATGTCCTGGTTGTATAGGTCCTAAAACTGAGGTGGTGATGAGGCATTGGCTAGCATTGGAGTGCTTATAAAAGAGAAAAGTCATAAAATGAGTACAATGTGACTTAATAGGAACTCCATGAATTGCAGATGTTCATTACCAAGAATTGGGATAAATGGCAATCTTCATCCATTCATCCAATCCCTGAGATATTTTCTTCAAGAAAGAAGGTGAAGAAAGGTGAACATTGTCCCCATCCTATATTGTTGAATAGAGAAGGCATCATCTTCTCATTGGTTGTGTGGAATCAGAAATTGTTGTATCACTTCTGCTCCTCAGTAAACAGAGGTCACACTCAATCAGGCAGACTTCATAATCATTTTAAGAATATAGGGAATGAATCAGTCTTCCCCAATCCAGTGCCTTTCAGATAAGTTTGACTATAACTTCCATTATAACTCCCTTCACTGGAAGGACAAACCCTGAAGCTGAGGCTGCAATACTTTGGCCATCTCATGAGAAGAGAAGACTCCCTGGAAAAGATGCTGATGCTGGGAAAGTATGAAGGCAAGAGGAAAAAGGGACGACAGAGGACGAGATGGTCGGACAGGTTCACTGATGCTCCCAACATGAATTTGACCAAACTCCAGAAGGCAGTGGAAGACAGGAGAGCCTGGCGTGCTCTGGTCCATGGGGTCACGAAGAGTTGGACATGATTTAACCATGAAACAACAACAAAAATAACTCCCATTATTACTGTGCAAAATAACCACCATTGGTTGTGGATGTTTAGAACAGAAATCCAACGTATCTGGAGGAAACCAGGTTGGAGGAAATTGGTGTAAATCATAGGATGGCTTCTGTGATTAAAGCACCAAAGTCTTCCAAAGAAAGACATGACAGAAATTTTCTTTTAACCCACTCTTCCCACTTTACTCTTTTTCCCATAGGCTTGTGTCAGCCACGTATACCAGGCACTGTTGGAGCAGAACCCTTCTCAGCCAAAATACGTTACACGGGTCCTGATGATCCTGATTACCCTAATCTGATCAAATTAACTGTTACAATGCCTCATATGGATGGTGAGTATCGGTTGGGTCAGTTTGTTTAGACATGAAAGTATTGCATGGATGCTACACAAGTTATCAGCACAATTGATATTTAAGATAAGAAGGAAGAAAACAATTCAGAAAAGTTTTTGACACATGTCTCTCCATGCTGAGGCAGCCTTTTTATATACTGTAGAGGCAGATCAGGGTGAAGTCTGTGCTTCTCCACTTCACAAATCAGAAGCCAACCCCTCTCATTCTGCAGTGTGGATTGCTTTAATGACCCTTGGGATGATATTTACATATCTTAGGGAGAATAAACTCTTGTGCATACCAGGTAATAGTGTTATTTTGCAGATACTTATTGTGTGCTTGTGGTTTCAGGGATGCTGCCAGTTGTCTCGACCAGACCTCTTTCCAACTTTGAGCTGACTCTTAGTCCTGATGGCACTCGTGTTGGCAACCACAAATGCTCCAACCTCCTTGATTATAATGAGATTGAAACAACACGTGGATTCATCACAGAGAATATCAAGAACCCAGAAGTGATTGGAGAAGCATCACCCTACCAGTATAGCAGCGCCATGCGGTCTACTAAGACTCTGCGTTTCTACCGTAACCTCAACCTTGAGGCCTGCCTTTGGGAGTTCAACAGCTACTATGACATGTCAGAACTCCTGACAGACTGCAGTGGCTCCATTGGCACAGATGGACAGGTATGTTAGAACAAGCTTAGATTTTGCCCTCTGAAATGCACATTTGTCTGGATGCTAATTTTCTGTCAAGCATCCCCTTCCCCTGGTTTTAATATAAAACACACACATGTTTCCAGAGAGGATGTTTTCACAATCATTTATAAGACAATGTATTCGCGAAGGCTTTCACAGCCGGGATCTAATGGTTGTTGTGGGTTTTTCGGGCTCTTTGGCCGTGTTCTGAAGGTTGTTCTTCCTAACATTTTGCCAGTCTCTGTGGCCGGCATCTTCAGGGGATAGCACTCTGCTCTTGGTTCTTTTTGTCACTCTTGAGCACAGAGTGCTGTCCTTTGAAGATGCCGGCCACATGGACTGGCGAAACGTTGGGAAGAACAACCTTCAGAACACGGCCAAAGAGCCCGAAAAACCCACAACAACCATTTATAAGACACTTTTCTGCCACTTTCTTAGCTATTCAAAATATTAAAGTTAGATGTACTGATAATTGTGTTTGTTATTTTTGCATCACTAATATCAAGAGTTGCTGGCTGGATAGCTCAGTAGTTTAAATATCTGCCTGCAGAGCCAGAGATTGGGAGTTTGATTTCCACTGTGTCTCCTACGAGTGTAGCCAACCTGTTTGGCCCTGGCAAGTTCCACAATCCCAGAAGAATGGAATGGTGAACCACTTCTGAGTATTTGCTACCTGGAAGATCCTGAAAAAATGGTTGTCATAATCAGAATTGATTTGACAGCATATGATAAAATAAAAATTATTAATGTTAATTCATTATAAAAATGTCAGAGTAAGCTCTGCCCAAGCAGACTGTGCTGGTCGATTACATATCTGTGATTGACAAGGAAGTGATACACTACTTTGTACCCATGTAAACACCCAGCCCTAAAGAAAAAGGAAAGGAATGATAGACAAATATGATCTGTCCTTAGCCAGTGCATAGCAAGGCTGGTTCCCAGCTTAAATCTTGGCAGCTTTCCGTTGATTAGTGAAAGCTGACATCTTTCAACAAAGATATGACATTGCATCTTGCTGCAAAATCAACAGTTCTTTCATAATTGTAGGCAAAACAAGATGAAGATAATGGAAAACTCACCTGTGCAGTCTTGTTCACTTTGCAAGTGGAAAAAAAAACCTGGTTGGCTATTGCTCTAGCATTATGTCTGCAGTTCAGCTTTCCAGTCATTTCCAAAGGTGTATGGCTCCCATTTTAGTCACTTCCACATAGTGACATCCACTTGATCCTATTCATATGCACACCCTCCCTCCCTCCCTCCAAGAACAATTGTAGAAAGCACCATTCAAAGTGCTGGTTTTAACCTACAAAGCCCTAAGTGGTCTGTGTCCAAGCTATCTAAAAGACTGCATCTTCCTCTGTGAGCCTGCCAGGGCATTAAGATCACTCAGTCCCACCACCCTCACAGGTGTGCTGGGTGAGGACACAGGAGAGGGCCTTCTCTGTAGCTGCTCCCAGACTCTGGAGCTCCCTCCCATGGGAAGCTAAGCTGACCCCATCTTTGTTGTTCTTCCGCAAGCAGGCAAATGCCTTTCTTTTCAGGCAGTCTTTTCCTTAATGGTCTGAGAGGGATTGTTAAATGGATTGTTGTGCACTGTTGTTTTAAATGTGTTTTAGCATTTATTTTATTTACCATTTTTAATTCTTGTTTAATTTTTTTTTATATTATATGCTTATTGTTTTTAGCTTTTCAATATTGTCTTTTTAGTGATGTAAGCCACCTTGGGTCCTTTTTAAGGAGAAAAGTAGGATAAAAATATTTAAAATAAATAAATTGTGAAGTTTTGTAGCAAGAAAACTAGATTTTTCCCCTCAAGACCACATGGATTCTGTTTCAAAGGCAACTTAAACAAAAGGATCAAAAACACTATGCTTTTTATTTAGGACACAGGATACTAAACTTTTAAATTATACTTTACTAAAAGATGCATGCTAGATCTATAGGTAAACTGGATTTCTTTTGGGTTTTTTCCCCTAGGTGAAATCCTTGTTTTTTGACTCTGTCATCCTTTTGCACCTGGGGCACAACAGCAGCAGTGTTCCAGATGAAAAAGAGGGAATCTAGCCATTTTTGGTACATATAGTTCTGCTGAAACATGAAAACGTCTTATTAAAAAAAATTGTACAGGACATTTTTACAGACTTTCTGCCAGCAGTTTTTCAGATTTTCTCTCTCTTAAACAGTCCATAGGTGAAGGCTGAGTGTATAATATATACAGTATCTTGCAGTGGAGGAACAAGGAGAAGAGATGCAACAGATGAGCCCTGACACCTTACTGTTTCAGTAGCTTCAAAACTGCCCTTCCCAATCTTGTACTTCCTGGATGTGTTGGATGACAAGTCTCACCATCCTCAGCTAGCAGTCAGATTATGTATAGGAATTATATACATCTGGAAATGTATATGCATTTATATGATTTGGAAAGGCAATTTAAAACTCCTGAAAAAAACACTTCTGAAGACGCCAACAGCAAAACATGCCACTCCCAGGCAGCAGCATTTACCAAAATGTTGCATGCCATTTTCTTTGTGAATTCTATGGTTTTTGATTAACATAATAAAGCTAATACAGTACTGCAGAAATTCCCCCTATGCAATGTTAACATAAATATACTGGATTCCCAATCTCCAGAATGATTCCTGAAGAGAAATATGTATTACTGTATCTTCGGAGTGAATGTTGAATTGATTGTGTAGCTGAAATAAGGGAAGAACAAATTAGGTTGTTTTTTTGTTTTTTTTGTTTCATTGGTAGTTTGATTTTGTTCATTTCAGTTGCTTGCAAACCTAGTGTCTCCCTTCACTGCTGGGTTCTAGTTATTGTTTGGATTTTAAGCAAGCTGAAGTATGTACTTGTTAGAATCTGGACTTTCTTAACCACCATCTCATTTGTAGGCAATTCTGAAATCAATTGAAGGAGAAATGGGAGTGGGCTTATGGTTAACTCCCAGAAACCATCAGCATTGTAATGTTCCAAAAAGGAGCTTTTGTTGAACAAGGGCTCAGTCATTACCCTTTCAATTCGTGAAAGCTGGGCCAAAATGAACCGGAGGTTACACATGAATGCAAGATTGTTAGTATCTACTTAATCCTATAATAGAGACTTTGCTGTAACCTCGGATTACCATATCCTTGTGGATGACTTGTCAAGTCAATTCTAGAGTTTTTTGTATGGTTTTTTCCCCCTGTTTTGTGCCAGAGTTTTATCTTAGAAGCCAGCAAGAGTCTCTTCCTGCCTGCCTGCCTCTCTGCTTGGATTTGGTCCGTGTTTCATTCTCTCACCCATCAATGCAAACTGTAATTCATTCATTCAAGCTAATAAAGCTTGTTCAGGAGCCAACACGAGACCAGAAGGAGAAAAGCAGAACAGGCCAGAACATCTGTCAAACTGAGAATAGCTGGAAGGGAATGGTGACAATATTTCATCCCATTCTAAGGATAACTGTGAACCAAACACCTGGAGATCTTCTTAGAACCTTGCATAACCCAGAGGTCTTGGTGTTTTGCAGGTGTTGAATCTAGTTCAGTCGTATGTAACACTGCGAGTACCCCTCTATGTCTCCTACGTCTTCCACTCGCCCGCTGCTGTTGGAGGCTGGCAGCACTTTGACCTCCAGTCTGAACTGCGGCTCACGTTTGTGTACGATACGGCCATCCTATGGAAGGATGGTATAGGAAGCCCACCAGAAGCAGAGCTCCAAGGTAAATACATCAATCTAATTAGTTTATGGAACTGGCTGCCAGAGGGTGGGGTGAGAGCTGATCGCTAAGATGGGTAGACTAGTTTGTGGTGATGAAGTTTATCAGGGATGCTGAGCTATTATGAGTAAATGTCACCTTCATTTTAAGAGATAGTGTATCACTGAATACCATTGGTTTGGAGGAAACAGTGGCAAAAAGCTAATGCCTTCACTCCAAGTTGTAGGTTTCAGTTGGGATGTGATAGCACTGAACTAATTGTACTTTTTAGTTCAGGTGCAGTCATGGCCATATGCTTGTCTGTTTCCAGTTGGGGGAGCAGTTATAACTTTCCCAGGCTTATGCAAGGAAGCATTCAGTGCTTCCTTAGAGAAGTGCTACTTTCCACTTTACATTCATGAGAAGTTTATTTATTTATTTTTATTTAACTTGTATGCCGCCTACACTACCCAAAGTTCTCTGCGCGGCTTACAATAATTAAAATGCAATAAAAAAGAAAACAACTAAAATACAAAAAAATATATACTCTAAAAATTGCCATCTGGATCCGCAGTTGATATATTTCAGTTAAAAGCCTTCTGGAAGAGGAAGGTTTTGACCTGGCGCTGAAATGTCATATGTGTCAGGGCCAGACCAATCTCCCTCTGGAGCATTCCATAGTCTGGGGGCAGCTGCCGAAAAGGCCCTTTTTCTACAAGCCATCCCCCTTACCTCCTTGAGGGACGGCTCTTTCAAAAGGGCCCCCTGGCTAGCTCTTAACTGCCAGGTAGGTTCATATGGAAGGATTACTCCCTGTTATCTTCCCTACCCCTTCCAAGTTGAGTCATGACAACTGGACTTCTTTCTTATTAGAAGGAGAGTTGGTAAGAGACCCCTGATATATCCTCCATGTTGGTTTCATTCCCCCTCCCCCGGGTCTGAATGGGTTCATTATGGACAAAGGGCGGGGGAGGCAGAGTGAAAATCCCACCTCTGCAGTCCTTCTCCACGCATTGTCATTAATTGTAATTAACAGTGGTCTTTCTGGTAGGTGTGGTCCTGATCTTTCTGGGAATGGATGAAAGGGCAGCATGGTAAATAGGAAACAAATTGTGTCTAAGGCCTCCAAAATGAGTACATCTTGGTCCTCAAATGAGTGTCCTTTGCCCTTCAAATGAAAGAATATTTTGGACTGGGAAGATACAGTAGGTGATTTGAGAGAGGGTTCAGGGAGGCCATACATGTGTATATATAAAATCTCTCACTTAATAGGAGTGGAGGCCTTAGACAGGGATCTAAGTGAGGGGGGGTCTCCTACCAATTCTCCTCAGACTGAAGAAACTACTTGAATGCTGCCAAGCAGCATTCAAGTGAAACGTTTCAACCTAATAAAAAAGAAATCCAGTTGCCATGACTCACCTTCCAGATAACCTAATTTGGATGACTGCGAATCTTCACAGATATACAGTGGACCCTCGACTTACAGACGGCTCGACTTACAGACTTCTCTGGCTGCAAAATTTAGATTCGACTTGCAGCCAGAGAATCGACTTACAGACCAGAAAAAAACCAAAATGGAATAAAAATAGAATAAAAACCACTGGTTATGGGATTAATCGGTTTTCAGTGCATTGTAGGTCAATGGAGATTCAACTTACAGACTTTTCGACTTGCAGCCACCATTCCAATACGGATTAATTCCTTAAGTAGAGGGTCCACTGTATCTCCCTAGCCCTTGTTTGTGCCTTATATCGTGTGAATGTTTAAGTAGCTGCTTGTTGTAGTTAGCTGGACATTCTCTCTCTTTGCTGTAGTGTTCACTTCTCCCAAGTGAGCAGCTTGTTTTTAAATCCTGGTTATTGAAGATCAGCAACTCCAGAGCAAACACACACCAGAGAGGAAAGACAATTAAACCTACTTGCACAGAGTTCTGCATAGCATGGATTTTGATTCCACCACTGCTAAATTGGACTTAGACCCACAAAGGGAGTGTGTAACTGAACTAAGTTGTGTCTCTTACCTCTAGAATGAAACGTGAACCAGTGTAAAGGCAGATCTACTGTTGTTCTCTGTGTGTGTGTGTGTGTGTGTGTGAAGCAGGAATAAGGGTGCCTTATTAGAAACTCCTTTCCTCGTGTGTAATGTTCTTAAGTACCAAGTTGTAGTTTACAGACAGCACATCATTAGAAGATGAAATAATCAGTTTTCCAGAAAAGCAAATCAGGCAGATATTTATGTCTGAAAAACCAAACTTACAAAGGAAGGCCACTGAATGTCTTGAAGGCAGGTCACAAAACGAAGTAAGCTCATTTACAAACTACTGGAGATGTGAAAAGCTCTTGCCATGACAATAAAAGTCAGTCAGTACTTGAAGAGTTTGAATTATGTGCTGTTTGCCTTACCTAATTTGAACCCAAAGACATTTCCCACTTTCCTTCTGTTGCATTTCCTCCAGTCTGGCTCTCAAGAGTAGAGATATAAAATTCCTGCTTACGACTGCTCTTCAGAAATTGTGCCAATGGCTTAGGGATCATAGCAGATATTTTGAATGAGAAGATAAAATCTTTAAAAGTCTCACTTCTTTGCATGCTTATGCTAGTATAGAGGAGTGGGTGGGGAGGAACTTGGGCCAGAAGGGATTAGCCCCACATTTTTGCATGTAACCTAAAAGTCTGTTACTTTAATCGTTGATGAAAGAGAAACAATTTAAATAGCACATAATAAACTCAGATGTGGAAGCCTGTGCTTTAGAATGTTGTTAGCAAAAGTTATTTGTTTGTTTGTTTGTTTTGCATAATAATTATGATGACTGTTTGCATCTAGGTGCTCTCTACCCAACCAGCATGCAGATCAACGAAGATGGGAGACTAGTGGTCTATTTCAGGACTGAAATTCGATTCAGGGGGCTGTTTGTAATGTCTCATCCAGGTAAAACCAGCTTTTTGTTTTGCCTCCTGAGTGAACACTGAAGCTCGGTGAGTTAGGTGCAGTATCTGGTTACTGAAGGTTGGGAATTCAGTTCCCTACTGGGCCTCCTTGGAGAAGATCCAGTCTGTGTAGCCATGGGGAAGCTGTACAGTCCCAGGGAGCCCCTGGAAGAAGAGAGTGGTGTGCCATCTTTGACTACTCTTAACTTGGAAAACCCTGGGAAAGGTTGCCATAAGTCAAAATTGATTTGGCAGTACATACGAATCGTAATTATTAATTAAACCTTGGTAGTATTGTGAGTAGTATTGGTAGTATTGTTCCAGAGAACAGAGAGGTTGAGGAGAGGCAGATATGATCAGAGTTTCTTTAGTTTTTTGTTTTTTATTTGGGTGAAAAAGTTTATTTGTCTTCTAGGTAGAGTAGTGTTCAGGGGCAATTAAGTATTTGTGGGAAGATGAAAAATATATGCAGTACTTATTTTCATATCAACCTAAACTTATGGTACCTCTTTAACAACATAAAATCCTTCTTTCATAACTTAAAATATGAAATAACAATTTTCAATATATTTATGATATTTAAAATTATAAAAGCAAAGAAACTGATTATGTGTTACAATAAAGAGAGAGCAGCAAACTGTTGATTCCTGTTCATTGCCATCTACAAGTCATAAAGCCTTCCCCTTATCCCAGACCACCTATGCTTCTGTCATGGAGAAGGCAGGGCCCATTAGATAAAGAAATGGATCTTCGATTTGAGAATTAACCATGTCTATGGTATGTGAAGAATGATTATTCTCTATCTGTCTTTCATACAAATCTCCATTCTGTGGAAACCCTAGCATTTTAAGTAAGCAAACCCATCTCTTAAGAAACATTTTGCTCTTCCTTAGAGGGAAAAGTGTTTTTCTTTTACCCAGTTTTAAAGTTGGAAAAAGTGAACATTTCTCCTCCTTGGCTTTTCAGTTTTACTTTAGAGAGATGGACATAACCCCTTTCTCCTGACAGTAGTGTTGGGTGATTTCTCACCTTCTATGTGTGTTATTTTTCCCATGCAAAACAACTTGACTATCAGTAAAGGCTTTACATTAAAGTATGGTGGTATTTTTCTTTTTACCTTTGGAATACACACTATAGACCTGAGAAAGCCTTTAGAACTGATTTTGGCCCTTCTACGGAAAGAGGTTCCTCACCTTATAGACTCCACCATCCATCCAGACCAAATTTTCTGAGGGTGTATGTGGTTGCATGGGGAAGGGAGACCAAATTTTCTGAGGGTGTATGTGGTTGCATGGGGAAGGGAGAACAGGTAAAGGACATCACTGTTCATTCCATCATAAAAATGTGTCTTTAATTTTTGCAGGAACATCTCTCTCATCTATGGTCATGTCTGCTGATCACCCTGGTCTCACATTCACACTGAGCCTTTCACAAAGTGAGCAAACCTTCCACCAGCCCATGCAGCAATGGAAATTTGTCTCTGATTTTGCTGTAAGTTTACAACATGATATATTCTGTAATACAATTCACTGTTGTTTTTTTTAAAAAGTGTATGGTTTTTGTATCATTTATTCTTGTGTTCGAATCCTATTGGTGTTCTGGTAAGGCTTGTATAACTTGTTATGACGATTATGGTTAATTGAAGAAGTGCTGCAGCATGTCTCAGTCATATGGCTGCTCATGTGCCCAGTTGTGCAATTGAGGTTTGCCCTAGCAATGTCATCAGTTAGCCAAAATTAGTTACAGGAAGTTAGGCAAAACTTACATAAACGTCAACAGGATTCTAGCTTATGATTGATTTATCTGAAAGACTGAATTGCTCAAGACCAACATGGCCACCTGTTTGTTCCATCAAAATTATATAGTAAATTTTACTTAGGGACTGTAATAAAGAAAAGAAAGTGGAACATGTGCATCTTTTATATCAGAATCAGACAGTCATATATATATTAGAAATAGAAAATGTTTCTGCAGAAAGATGCTTTGAGGAACGGAGTAGTAAGTAGAATTTATAACCTAATTTTGGAACAAGAGGAAAAAGAGACTGAAATAGAAGGTTTGAAATCAAATTGGGAACATGATTTAAGGACAGAAATTAAAACAGAGAATTGGACAAAAATTTGGAAGATGAGAGTTTTAAGATTAAGGTCGGTAAAAATAAAAGAAAAATTTTAAAAAATTAGTATAAGGTGGTACATGACTCTGATGAAATTGAACATTATAAATTCAGAGTATTCTAAGGCCTGTTGGAAATGTAATGAAGAAATTAGCATGTATTATCATATGTGGTGGGAGTAGAAATGGATTAAGAAATTTTGGAAACTGATTTTTAAGGAAATATGTAATATATTTGGAAAAGCTATCGAATTCAATTCTAAAATTGCTTTCTTGTCAATTTTTGATAAGATAGAACGTAATTATTGCTCAAAGGAATTGATTTTCAATTTTATGTCAGGTGCTAGAATATTAATAGCTAGATTCTGGAAAGATCAAAATGATATTAAATTAGAAGATTGGTATAATGAACTATAGGACATTGTGTTAAATTGACTACTGAACTTAAGATGAAAAGAGAGGAAATAAGTTTAAATATTTTTATCCTATTTGGGGTAGATTTATTGAATTTGTATTATTTGAAAGGAAAGGGGAAAATCTCCAAGCAACAATACAATTTTGGGAAAGGAGGTTCACAATAAAAGTATTGCTCCAAAGGGTCCTGTGGGTATGGGGGTGCACTGTGTTTTAGATTATATTAGTAAGTATTTTGTATTCTTGTATTTGTTTTGGAAATAGATAAATAAAAAAATAAATAAAATAAATAGAAATTGTTGGGCATTTCAATATTGCTATTCAGCCCCAACAAAATACACTGATTTTGAAGCATGATATGGCCAATGCTTATACCATCTCTTGATGGGTAAGGTGCATCAGGGTGATATCAGCTGATTAAAGATTAATCATCTGACTTTAAAATATTAACCTACAAATTTATGGCTGAAATCCAGTAGTAAGTTGCACCCAGTGCTTATACCATCTCTTGATGGGTAAGGCGTATCATCTGACTTTAAAATATTAAACTACAAATTAATGGCTGAAATCCAGTAGTAAGTTGCAAGTAAAGGAGGCCCATTGAATTAGTGGAACTTGCATATAAATTGACTCACCAAATCCCCACTGAATACAGGTACAACTTATCACTAGATTTCAGTCAATACATGTTTCCATGAAGCTTTTTGAGAGAAGAGAAAGAAGGGTATAGCTTTTTAAAAAGATGTATCAGCACTTATTTCAATTTAGAACTTTAGTTCCCTCTTTTTTATATATATTACTACGTTTAGAAGGAAAGCTATGGTGAGTTTGCCTTAATTAAAATGTAGCATGTAAAATACATGCTAGCTTTTGGTACATGTGGAAAGGGAAAACCTTGAAGTTTAAATCCTGAATCTTTAGCATGCCCAGCTGTAAGCATGTTTTCTCAGAACTACATCTTATTGAGTTCAGTAGAATTTCTTCTTAGGCAATATTCATTGGAATGCACTGAGAGTTACTTCCAGATAGTTAGAAAGTTGAAAGAGTTGAATATTTGGTGTCTTGTACATTAGAATCACTCTGTTATGTGGAAATACGAAACAGCTAAAGCTGCTCATGTTTTATTCATGAGTGTCCTCATGGTTGCTTGAGAAGGAGAAAATCCAATTATAGACAGGGGTGGAGGGAAACAATATTGTGCCAAAGATCTCACTGAGAAATATACCTCTTTTTTATCCAGCCAATTTATTTTCTTCTTTTTAAGCAGAAGCACTTTTAAACCCAAAACTGTTCATGTTCTGATACTATATTCCTTTTTTTTTTTAGGTGCGCGACTACTCTGGTACTTATACGGTGAAACTTATTCCCTGTATTGCTGCCCCCAGCCAAGAATATACTCAGGCTGTCATCTGTAGCCCACGGGAACCAATCACCTTTGATCTAGATATCAGATTTCAGCAGGTAAATCCTCTCAGTACTTCAGTGTGTTCAGCTAACACAAGTATTGTAGCTGCATTTATCTGACACATTACATACACTCCCCTGATAATTAAAGTGCCTATAATTGCTTTCTTGTGGAGATAATCAGTACCAGATCATATGAAGTAATTTTACAACAAACTTTTTCAACTAACTTAAAAGAGCTGGTGATTAATACATAAAAGCACAACAACTGAGAGTATATTTTCACACCTACTCAATCTAGATATTTCTGTTATCATTAAAGCTGCATCAGTACAGAGAATTTAACACCCAGCTTTGGATGATTATCGCAGAATCATATAATAATGGAGTTTTGTTGTTGTTTAGTCAAGTCATGTCTGACTCTTCTTGACCCCTGGACCAGAGCACACCAGGCCCTGCTGTCTTCCACTGCCTCCCGGAGTTGGGTCAAATTCATGTATTGAAGCCTCAACTTCAGGATCTGTCCTTCCAGTGAGCACTCAGGGTTGATTTC